AGCATTTTCATTGACATTATCCCATTTAATCTTTATATCTTATCCTGAGATTAAAACACACACACACAAAATCAACTGGGATTTTATCACCTAGGAATCAATGACCCTGACTAGCATCTACCAGAACTTCTAGTTTGTTAGTATCATCATTTTATTTAACTTAATTATGTGAATTAATTAAAAGATTTTTTAATCAATTAAATTAACTCATCTATTTTAACTTAAATTTTTTTTATTTATACTTACTTTTTTCACTTACTGTTTACATTCAGTATTATTCTCTATTAGTTTCAGATGTAAAAATTTATCTAGAAGTTTATGAAACTGCTGTGAAATCACAACTTGATGGGCTAAAGTTCTTCTAAACTGTAAAATGCTTTACATGATTTTTTAAAAGTTCGTTACCTACCTAGCCATATCCTTTTTTTAAAAATAAAAATAAAAATTGAGGTATAATTATTACCATAGAATTCACCTGTTTAAAAGTCAATTGTTTTTAGTAACTTCACCAAGCTGTGCAACCATCCCCACAATCCCAATAAGATCGCTCATGCCATGCAGAGTGAATGCCGATCCCACTTCCAGTCCCAGGAACCACTTAACTACTGTCAGTCTCTTTGGTTTGCCTTTTCTGGACTTGCCGTATAAATCAAATCATATGACATATTGTTTTGTCTGGCTTCTTTCACTTGACATAATATTGTAGAGGTTCATTAGATTTACCTTGTGGCCTCTTTTAGAAACATTGATATATAAGTGTCTGCTATAAAAGTGTCTGTATGGTGATGTTGGAAAAAATGACAATTTTCTAACCTAAGCAAGGATTGACAAATATTTGTTTGAAAATGATATGGCATATTCTGTTGGACCAGGAAGAATTAAGGATTTGGCGAAATATCTGACCAGGTCTGACTTGGACTCTTTGAAATGGGATGAAATGTCTAGAATATCAGACAAGCCTCATATGCCTGGTAGCTAAGGAGCCATATGCATTATCTCTGGAAATGTGAGGGTTTTAAATTGTATTTTTTAAATCATGTATGAAGTTTAAACGCACTAAACATTAGAGAGAAAAATATAATAAATCCTCATGTACCTATCATCCTTATTAAACAGTATCAACATTTTGCCACATATGTTTCATGTGCCCTTTGTTTCCTCTCCTTTTGCTAAAGTATTTTAAAAACAAATCCCATATATCACCTTGACCCATGCATACTTTAGTGTACATTTCTAAAAAATATGGATTGTTAAACCTTTTAAATATAGCATAGTAATACATACTACATTACCAACGAGATCTTTACACACTAAGTTTTCAGCTGGTGATTACCCTGGGTCCGCTCCTTGGTGTTTGGTTTCATCGGGCAGCAGGGTAAGACCTTGTTGAAGGTGGCAGGGAGCCAGAAGTGGGGAAAGAGAGGACCCCACATGGAGCTGCAAGAACTAGTTGAGTTCTTGAAAGTAGGCTTAAGGTCCATGTGCATTAGGCCATACGTCAGCCACCTCACATTATCTTACCTAATTATCCAGTATCTTGTCAGGCAAGTATTACTATTCTCCTTCTATAGGCTTGGGGAGGTTGAATAGGTAAATTGTCCAGCCTCACAATAACTTAGAGATAGAATTCAAAGCAAGAGATGACTAAGCTTTCCCACTTTTATGCTTGCCTGCTATATAACTGTTATTGCAAGACTATATTTTTAGGCCCAAATTACTGTGCCTTGGGAAATACAGATTGTATTTGTAGAAGTGTTCACTATCATTTTGATTCTTTAATAACAACTATAAAGCTTTATTAAATTCAGGCAGAAGTAGTAATAAAAATTAATAATTATGGTAATAATAGTAGTAGACACTCATATATTGCCTACTATATGCCAAGTACTATTTTAAAACTTTGCATATATTAACCCATTTAACCTTTCCAACAACTCTATGAGTTGGATACTATTACGGTCTCCATTTTGTGGATGGAAATACTGAGGAACAGAATGGTTAAGTAACTACCCTGAAGTCACACAGCTAGTAAATGACAGACCGGGGATTTGAACCTTGGCAATTTGACTACAGAGTCAATGAAAGATGCCTCCTAATAGAAACTCAATATACAGAAATGCATATTTACAGATTTTAACATCAGGGAATGAATTAAACAAGCAGTGTGATTGCAGCATTTGTGTGGGCTTCATTTTATGGGGCAGCTGTGCTCTAAAATATTCTAGCAAGCTGTCCATATAAGGACATGTGTGTTTGTCAAATCATGTGCTGCCTAAACTGAAATGTGCCTGGCTCATATTCCATTGCTAAATGTACTTGCATATGTGATCCTGAATCTAACTTTTCCATTTGTTTGTTAATTTATCTGAAATCTTTTATTCCCCAATAATGGTGGCCTGAACTCCATTTGAGAATACAACCAATTTTTCACTGAGAAAAGACAAACATCTCTGAAGTTCTAGAAAGTAGAATATAGGCTTAAAACAATAATATATAAGTAGAAAATATTAACTGTCAATTATCTCCTTACAGAATCAGGGAGGAGAACTGATAGAAATTAATTCACTTTTAATTCAATATTTAGAGAGCAGTAGTTTTCTTTTAAACTTCTAAATCACTCGATAAAACAAAACAAAATAATTCTAAGGGTTTACATTAATAGCTTGTGACTTTTTAAACTCATATTTTTTCCAAAAAGATATCATTTGGCATTGTGTGACTTCAAAACTTAAGCTGCATTATTTAGTATTGTTTCATTTATGTCTTAAAGCTAATGATTTTCCTAAAATAACAACTTTCTCATTCTATAATAAAAAATGGGGAAGAGGGGGGATGCTATATGAGACTATAATTTCCTAAAAATGTTTTTAAGCACGCTTACTTTAGTGTAGATAAGATTTGCTTTTTAAGTCCTATTAATGGTTTTCAAGTGCCCTAATGAACTGTAGGGGGAAAAAATGAGAACATGAAACATGTTCATATTTCTGTGACCTGTTACTTGACACTTTCTTAAAGACTGAATATTTTTTAACATTTGATGTTTATTATTTTCATTAAAAATCACATGCTAAAAACCTTATTGTATAAAATAAGTACCTACTTTCAAATAACCTAATATTACTTGAATATTAAATTAAAACTCTCAAACTATTTATTATAAAGTATGACCCTCCAATTAGGACATAAAATTGCTTCTCTCATTCAGTCATGCATTGCTCGCAGTATTATAAACTGATACAAACCTTTTAGAAAGCAATCTGGCAGTCTTCCAATAATGATTTAGATGTTAAAGCCTCTTGAGCCAGGAAACCCCTTATGAGAACTAGAGTACAGAAATTATCTAGAATATGGGATACTATGTTCAGGAAGATGTCCACTGTAATGTTATTTATAATAACATAAAATTAGAAACACAAAAATGCTAAAAATAGAAAAATTGTAACTTTGGTTATAACGCTTTAAGACAGGAAGCAACCCATACTTTTGAAATAGGAGAATGATATTTAAAAAGTCCTTAAGATCTTAGTGCAGTTTAGGTGTTGAAATCAATCAATGTAACAAGGACCTTTTCTAAACAGTGCTTTGCCAGGGCTCATTCTGTTACTTCAGGTGCTTGGAAATAAACTGCAGTGAACTCACTGAGGACTGAAGCACCCTATTTTTCTTTGGACCTTGGTGACTAACCTTTTGCATACAGAAGACACCCAATAAATGCTGGTTTGTATGAGTCATTGGTGGATTGAGTGAAAGACTATATTTTTTAAATGTCATTATTCTGACTGTTCTTCACAATAATTAAAACAAATTAGTGAGGCCTACCGAGAGAGTTTTCCCATTATAGCTATATTTTTCTTCTTTTTTCCCCTAAGCGCTTTCTCTCTTCTACAAAATTGTCCATTATACCTGCCCATCCTCACTATTTTCTGACCTTTCCTACCTAGGGTTTTGTTCTTTCACTTAATGAGACTGAAGGACCCTGCCCCACACTTTGTGAAGTAAAAACATTGCCACTCACCATCCATCCGCTGATTTTAGCCATAAAAAAAAAGCTAAAGGAGTTCACCACCACCAAACCACTATTATAAGACAAGTTAAAGGGGGGGGGGGGTAAATAAATATGAATAATAAAATGGCAACAGGTACACATCTATCAGAAAGTACTGTAAATGCAAGTGTTGCCTGCTCCAAGCAAAAGGCATATGGCAGTTGGAGGGACAACAAGACCCCCTTACAAATGCTGTCTGCAAGAGACTCCCTTCGGGTCGAAAGACACGCACAGACTGAAAACGCAAAGGATGGAAAAAGATATTTCATGAAAACGGGGGAAAAAGCTGGGGTAGCAATACTTACACCAGACGAAACAGAAATGAAAAACAAAATAAACAAGCGGAACGGAAACGAACTCATAGAGAACATTTTGACAGTTGCCAGATGGGAAGGATGGGTGGACAATGTGAAGGGATTAAGAAGTACAAATTGGTAGTTACAGCTTAGTCACAGAGATGGAAAGCACAGCACAGGGAACATAATCAATAATACATATTAATACATATTGGAATAACTACGTATGGTGTCGGGCACAGGATTTATCAGGGTGTTAGATAATGTCTAATCACTAGGTCATACACCTGAAACTAATACAATGTTGTATGTCAACTGTAACTGAAAAAAAATAAAGTACAATAAATAAAAGTAGTGTTATAAGTCATCTCAGGAATTTACACAGTCAATGGAGTTATGGTGTTAGAAGACGCAGCACTAAGGTTTCAGCTAAAGTATAATTTTATACTTTTTAAAAAATATACATTTTTGATTGTTACAGAGGAAGGGAGAGGGATAGAGAAACAGAAACATCGATGAGACAGAGACATCAATTAGCTGCCTCCTGCACGGTCCCTACCAGGGATGGAGACCGCAACCCGGGCATGTGCCCTGACCAGGAATCGAACCAGCAACCTCTTGGTTCACGGGGCGACACTAAACCACTGAGCAACACGGGATGGGCAATAATTTTATAATTTTAATGGACAATTAATGAGAGGGCTAAAAGAGTTTAAGAAAATAATACTACAGACAGGATAACCACTTTTCCTGACAAAAGGACAAAGTTATTACCTCCCTTTTTTTTTATTAATTAAATTTTTAAAATCCTCACCCAAGGACATGCTTAGAGAGAGGAAGGCGTGGAGAGAGAGGGGAACATTAATGTGGGAGAGAGACATCAATCACTGCCTTCCGTCCGTGCCCTGACGAGGTAGGGGCCGAACCAGCAACCTTTCGGTGCACGGGGTGACGCTCAACCAACTGAGCCACTCCAGCTGGGCTCCACCTTTTTAAACATGAGATTCAACAAATAAAAATTTTACATTTTATAAGAAAAAAGTGCTGTATTAAATGTAAAAGAATGTAGCAGCTGTCTAATATCATGAAGTTAATATTGATTAGAAAATCCAATTACTTCTACAATTTATTTTGATATATCCCAAGATAGCTGTTTGTCAGCAGGTGAACTTCCTATTTAATTGGCATGATTGAGTAATTAAATGTATTCTCAGAGCAGCAATAAAATGAAATTCTCTTGTCTCAGGAACATAGTTGAGGTTTTTGTTGTGTTTTGTTTTACCCATGGGTTTATTCAACTGAGACCGAGGAGACTTCCTGCTTTATCTAGGAATAATTTTTTATTTAACATATTTGGTGGTTGTGTGGTTATATAATTGTTTTCATCATAAGAATGATGGGGAAAATTCATGAATTTGACAAAGATTCGTGATGATTTACCTTTCTCTCACTAAATCCTTTAGGTCCCCATCATCTTTTTTCTGGGCTCCTGCAGGAGCCTTCTGACTGGCCTCTCTGCTTCCAGGCCTTTTCATCAGGTCAATTTATCATCTAGAAGAAAAAAAAAATTGTTCTTTGTACCACATCCTCTATATCAGGCAGCAATGCATTCATCCATAAATAACAGAAAACTTGATTACAGATGCTTTAATAAATAGGGGTTTATTTGTCTCAGGCATTAGAGTCTGAGGTTAGTGACAGTGGCTCCAAATTGCTTCCAGGGTCTCAGTCTTTTCCCATCTTTCAGCTCTGCCATGCTCATTACGCAGGCCTTCATTCTCGCTCAGTTGCTCTATGAATGCAAGATGCCCGCTGCACCTCCAGACCTCACTTCTACATTACAGGTAGGAAGGAGGCAGAAAGATGAAGGAAAAAAAGACAAAAAATTTCAGGCTAACTTTGCCTTTTATCTTTTTCCATTAAGGGAAGCTCTTCTCCAGCATTTTTGACTAGTTGGAAGGGAAGCTGAGAAATTGGGTATTTGGGCTTGTTAGCCTCTATAGTAGTAAAGGAGAAGGTGAATATTATCGGCTTTTGAACAGCCAAACCATAGTTTTTGTTTTACTCTATCTGCCATTAAAATTTTTCAAAAATTCATCAGTTTACTGTGTGAAATCCGTATCTCAGTATTGTTCAGTGTAATATCATAGACTGACTTCTTTCATAACTTTAGGAAATCTGTAGATAATGTATCTTCATTTTTGCTAGTACACTTGCATTAGTGAGATCTCTTCAGAGAAACACAACCAATAGTACTTTTCTGTAGAAAGATATTTAAGAAATTGGCTCACATGATTATGGAGGCTGGCAAGTCCAAAATCTTCAGGGTGCGTCCGCAGGCTGGGAATCCAGGAAGAGGTGATGTTGCACTTCATGTCTGAAGACTGTCTGCTGGCAGAATTCCCTCTTGCTCAGGGGAGGTCAGTCTTTTGTTTTATCAAGGCCTTCAACTGATTGAATGAGGCCCACCCACCTTATGAAGGGCAATTTGCTTTACTCAAAGTCCACCTACTTAAATGTTCATCTCATTCAAAAACACCCTTACAGAAACATCCAGAATAATGTTTGATTGCACATCTGTACACCAAGGCCCAGCTGACATATAAAATTAAGCACCATTAATACACCACCTAAATTAAGCATGCTGAACATCAGGAAATGGCATGTGCTGAAAGGCAGAGAGAAAAGGGCTCAGTTAGAAAATAAAATAAGTTCAGTACACATTCGAGTAGGAAAAGATGGGCAAGATGAGACTGAAGCAGTAAGATAGAGCATATCATGTAGGGTACTGCAGGCTCTGATGAGGAGGCTAACCTTTACGTTAAGAATGATGGAGAGCAATTAAAGGTTTTAAAAGTCACTTAAGATGTTTGCTCACCCATTTCCCCCTTCTTCATTCTGTTCCCTTCTTTCAACCAATATACTTTGAGTTGGCCTTGGGTTGGCATAAGTTATTCAGTATGTCCAACCTCCTTGGACATAGCAGGGAGCTCAGGAATGGGCCAGTAAGACACACTATACCATTTGCTGGAGCTTCAGAGAGAAAGTGTCCTCTTTTGCTGGATTTGCTAGTGTTACCATGATGCTTTGAAACTGCTGCCACCCTGTTGCTATCACAGGAGGGGCGATCTGAAGATAAAGCTTCATCTAAAACTGCTCAATGGCCCAGCCAGGCGTGGCTCAGCAGTTGAGCATCGACCTAGGATCCAGGTGATCGGGGTTCGATTCCCAGTCAAGGCACATGCCCGGGTTGCGGGCTCGATCCCTGCTCAGGGACCTGCAAAAGGCAGCTGATCAATGACGACTCTCTCATCATTGATGTTTCTATCTCTATCTCTCTCCCTTCCTCTCTGAAGTCAATAAAGATATATTNCTCTCATCATTGATGTTTCTATCTCTATCTCTCTCCCTTCCTCTCTCTGAAGTCATTAAAGATATATCTTAAAAATAAATAATAAAACTGCTCGATGAAGCCTGGTGACATATAATCTGAGTCCAGGAACAAGCTGTAACTGAAACTGTTCAGTTGAGACAGACCATTCCTTTTTATTTGATTTACAGTCATATGGGTTAGGCTTTCTGTAATCTGAAATGTGACTATTCGTAATATATTAACTGTTAGAATGTTGATTAGTAATCTAGTTAAGAGCAGTGGCAGTTGGGGTAGAGAGAAGTAATTGATTTAAGAGATATTTGGGATAAATATTAGGATATTTCGATATTTAGGATGTGGGAGAAAAGTTACAAATGATTTCTAGATTTTCTGACTTAGGCAACTGGGTTGGGGGCACCATTCACTGAGGGGAGGGGACAAGACTAGATAAGGTTTGCCTATAAAATGTCCACATGAGATGACAAATGTGGTGTTGCATATATGGACCTGAAATTCGATAGGACTAGGCTGGTAAGAGATTTAGGAGTCACTTGCACATAGAGTAGATTAAGTTATTTAGTGAGAAAGAAAAAATACCAATATTTAAAAATAAAGGAGACCAAAAAGGATCAGCCAGAGAGGTGGGAGGCAATTCACAGATGTGCAGTGTCACAGGAATAAGAAAGGGCTGGGTTTAAGGCCAGAATGGACTGCAGTGGTAAATACGAAGAGGTGAAATCAGATGGGACTGAGAAGTTTCCTTTCAATCTAGGAACATGGAGATCACCAGAAAATTTAGAACAATATTGGGTGTGGAATCCAGATTGTAGAGGGTTGAGGGTAAGAGAGGTGTGTGTGAGAGAGAAAGAGGAATCATCACATGGGGAAAACACGAGTTATTCCACTTTGCATTAAATCTTCTCAAAAATCCAGAGCTATCATTAGTCTTCTTCTTGTTGATAATACTGACATATGTGGTGCTCTGATCCAATCTCATGTCTTTATTATTAATATGCCACAGACCCTCAAATGTATATATATCCAGCCTCTTTCCGAAACTCCATCCTGACTATACAGCCACCTACGAACCCAGAATCTACACCAGAAAGTTGAATGGGCGTCTCAAACTGAACATGTTCAACACTGACCTCCTGATCTTCCCCAAGCCTGTTTCTCCTGGTGGTTTTTATCTACTTATCTATTTATTTATTTACTTAACCTCAGCGATGGCACTCAATCCTTCCAGTTGCTCAGGCCAAAAACTGGACTCTTTCTTGAGCCCTTCTTTCTCATGCCCCTTATAACCTCTGTGAGCAAATTCTGTTGGTCCTGCCTTCAAAATATATCCAGATCTATTTCTTACCCTTCCGCTGTCACCATTGTGATCTTTTACCTGAAGTACTGCAATAGGTCTCCATATGTTGACATTTGCTGCCCCTGCAGTTTATTCTCAACATAGCAGCCAGAGCGATCCTTCAAAAAGATACACGAACCTCAAGGATTTGAGATTTCCTCAAGAAGAGAGTGCAAGGAATGTACTCTCAATAGCAGGAAGGAGGAAAAACAGGTGGAAGTGAGAAGACCAAGTACCCAACGTTCAGTGAGGGAGGAACAGGCTAGAAACTGCAACCTAGATGAATGCAAAGGTGAGATTTAAAAATTGGAAGGCCAGGCACTTTGAGGAAGAGAGTAAGTAGAAGCTGAAGATACAAGAGAATGGACTGAACCCAGTCCTGGAGAATGTGAGAAGAAATAGGATCCAGAGCACAGACGGTGGAATCAGCATTGGACAAGGCCACAAAGAGTGAAAATGTTATCAAGTCCCCAGCAAGAGTGGACAAGCTAAATTTAAAAATTTACATGGGATTTGTATTGCTCTGTAATAGTTAGCTCTTGAGGTCCTGGGCCTCCTTCTGGATGGCTGAGCCTGGTTCTGTTTAACCACCAATCCTCCCCAATCTGTCCCCATCCCCAGGAGGAAACGAAGAAAGGATGGCTGCTGATGTTCATGTTAAAGGCTCATTCTTAGGATTCCTGTTGAGATTGCTGGTCTGGTTGCTTCTGTTTCTTTACATTTTATTTTTCACAGAAGCGGGAGATGAGGTCACTGATTGTGCTACTGGTGGTGGGGATTGAGGTGTGAAAATAAAGAAGGTTGGACATTCTTATTATGAAGAATAGAAGAATATTAGAAATTGCTACTATAGTAAAAGGTGGAGAAAGCTCATTAGGGGCTTACAGAAGAGTTAAATCTAGTTAAGTTCAATGATGTGCACTCATAGTTGTTAGAATCTGCCCAACTGCATTTGCTACAGCTGTGCTCTCAGCACCCCAAGTGATGGATGATGAAGCCTAAGCTGGATGACAAAGGGAGTAAAGATATAAGGGGGCTGAAAGGAATAAAATAGAGCATTCTATGGACTACAGCAGTGATTACCAAACTTAAGATTATCTGGAAAGGCCAGATTCTGAAATAATTATTCAGTAGGTCTGAAGTGAAGACTAGAACCTATTTTCAACAAGGATCCTAGTTGATTATGATATAAGAGGGCCATGGACGATTGTTTGCGAAATAGTAGATTTGAAAATACATATATTGAGTTTAAAGATGTGATATTTTGAGAGGAAGAGGAGACAGATAGATAGAAGGAAAATATTGTAAGGACAGGTGGTTATAGTATGAGATAACTAATTTATTATTTCAAAGGTGGAACAGCCTAGAAAGATGAAAGGTTCAGGGTGTGGCCACGGGAGAGGGTGGCTGAAGTAGGGGTCACCATTACCAGATTGAGGAAGACAAAGTACCAAAAGCCAAGGTAATCCATGTGGACCTTGAAGCCATCCCAGATAATGGCAGTACTTGGAACAGAGGCAAAACTGAGCAAAGTTCAAAGTCAGCGAAGGGGAAGGAACTACGGGAGGGCAGATAAAGCAAAAATATGAAGTTGAGAAAGGTGTAAACTGGTTGAGTTTTTTACATGGTGGTGAAGTAAAACTGGCTAACATTAGTTGAGTGTTTGCTTGCTAGGCTTTACATACCTCAGTGCATTTCATCCTCACACACAACTCATAAACTTCATATAATGTAGATGCTATTTTTATTCCCCTTTTATGATGAGGAAACTGAAGCACACAGAGGTTAAGCAGAAACCGGCATCTCACAGTTTTTATCCACAATGCTATACTGACTCATAAAATGCTAGTTGAAGGTGTTTCAACAGAATACATTTCAATTGAAAAACAAAAATCAGATCTCTTGAATATTGTTAGGGATTAACTTATTTAGGGAAAAAATGGAATATTTCTTTAAATTTCATCTGTACTGAACTATTTGTTTTGCAATATCCGGTGAGTGGCAGTACTAATAACAGTTCCATACTAGGTCATCTAATAGAAACATTAAAGCAGTTGGCCATTTATCAAGACTTCTGTCTACTCCATGCCTTGATGATTTCTTCAGCAGCATCTAGTGTACTGTCTTTCTGTAAATAAATGAAATAACCATCATTACATATCAAAATAAATTCAAGATGAAGTGAAGTTTTAAATATAAAAAAACATACCAAAGTCAGTTTATCAGGAAGAGTAGTGCAGGGATTTAGGAACCAGTGCTCCTCAACTCCTGGAAAATTCAACTGGGCCCAGTTGAGCTCCAGACTGTCCTTGGCCTCCGTAGCAACGACAGAGCCCCCAGAACATTCATTAGTGAACAAGCCTTCCCAGCAAATTAAGTCACTGGAAGCCTTGCCTATACTAAGCCATAACCCCAGTAGAAGCATGGACAAAGCCTGGGATATGATGTCTGCAGTGTCTTCCCTCACTTCAGTGGCCAAGTACACAGGTCCCAAGCTCTTTAAGGAGCCCAGTAGCAAATAAAACAAATAATTATTATAATGCTATATCCCATTGCTCTCTGGCTGGAAAAGGGAATGAACCTCACAAGAATTTAATAGTAGAGGAATTAGAGAAGTATGATGCCAATCACTACCTCATACTGTTTTATGATGCTGGCTGCCAGTTCTGGGCACTTTATTGCTACTATTCTGACACCAAAGTAATCTACAACGTATTTTTTTGGATTAAAAAAAATTTTTTTTAATTTTTTCAATTACAGTTTACATTCAATATTATTTTGTATTAGTTTCAGGTGTACAGCACAGTGGTTGGACAATTATATACTTTACAAAGTGTTCCCCCCAATATTTCCAGTATCCACGTGGCATTATACATAGTTATTACAATATTATTGACTGCATTCCCTATGTTGTGCTTTACATCCCATGACTATTTCGTAACTACCAATCTGTACTCTCAATCCCTTCACCTTTTTTAGCCAGTCCCCAAAGACCCACCCCTCCGGCAATCATCAGTCTGTTCTCTGTACCTATGAGTCTGTTTCTATTTTGTTTGTTCATTTATATTGCTCTTTAGATTCCACAAATAAGTGAAATCATATAGTATTTGTCTTTCTCTGACTGATTCATCAGTAGGATGAACCTTTAGGATATCTGATGGATATCTGATCTCAAGTAAAGAGAAATTTTCAAAAAATAAATGCAAAAGCAGACCTCCAAAAGGAAAACAATGAAATTAATATCTAAGTACAGAAACAAGTCAAAGAGTACACATTATACTCCCACTCTCAATCTATGAAAGTGTCTTACTGAACTTTTTAGTTGTTTTGGTGGCTCCAATGTAATAGATAAAATTTCAATGCGTTTAAATTTTCATGTCTCTTACTAAGAGTGAGGTGGAGAAATCTTTCATATATTTGACAGCTACTGAGGGTTTTACCCATAACCATTGTAATGTGCTGCTTTTTGGCTTATTTTGTCCTAAATTCAATCTGCTCATTTTGGATTTCCATTTTCCTGGCATGTTTTGTCATCCTTTTATTTTCAGTCTTTCCAAGAGATTGAGTTAGGCATGTCAGCTTTCCCTAGGGACTCCTCGGAGCTGCTCCACTATCTTCCAATATTGAATGTTGATGTAAAGGAGGCGAGTTCACACCGATCCTCATATCCTGCCCCCGTGCAGGCCTTGACATTTTTGTCTAGATGCCAAAGAATCATTTGCTTATCTTTAAAGTCCAATATATTACATAAGGTATATCTCAGTGTTAATCATTCTGTGACAGTTTCTCCTGAGATAAGGCATTCCTTTTCAATTGTTAGATTTGTTTGTTTTTTTTGAAATGGAAAGCATTCTCAAAAGAAAGCTATAAAATTCTTTACCGGTTTTATTTGTTCTGCTTCCCCCCCCTCCCCCCAGTGGCTCTACCTATTTTGTCTTCCACATCTACAATTTTACTAATATTTTTAAATTCTTTGTTTTTTCCCACTCCTTTTTGCCCACTCTTCTCAATCCTTAATGTGCTTACAGAAGTATTTAATGTTCTCTGTGCTGTTTCCATTGTCAGTACAATTACCAACAGCTTTATTTTTTCCATTACATTTCTTATCTGAGCTCTGACAGCTACCATTTCATTTTCTTATATTATCTTACTTAACATTCCTACTGTTCTGAATAAACAGTATGCTACCTAACTGCTCTGTCTGGGATTTAAAGATGTAGAAGCGGGAGCCTTTCTAGGCGTCTTCTCTCTACCATTACTTTTTTTGGCAACTCTTTTTATCACTTATTTGGGAATTCATGAATTTGTTTTCCATTCTCTTAGTTGTTTTTTAAAAATAATTTCCACAAAGAGAAAGAGGAAGAGCTGTGTTTGCCATTTTAAAACTGGAAGTCTAATTTATTTTTTTCTTTTACTAGTTCTATTTATATTCAAATAATATACCTCTAGAGATATCTAGATCCACTGCAAGATGAGAATGTTAATGGCCTTACCCCTTTCTCTATATTTTAGTCAATTAAACATTGACATTGTTAGGTTGTTAACATTTACATTTTATTATAGGTAAGTCTTCCATTGGTTGTCCCTAAAAGTAGAAAATAATGTTTACATCAATCTGACTAGTTTTACAGATGAATGTGTTGGTATAGAGAGTGCCTTGATGTCAGTATGACTGTTTTCAGTAGCAATCACATCTTAAAAACAGCAATAATAAATGTATTATTTTTTACAGATCTGATGATGAATTCTTTCAGCTTTCATTTACCAGTGATGTATATATCACTTTTCGTTTTAATGAATATTTTCCTAGATATAGAATTCTGGGGCTGATCTATTTTTTACTACAGCATTTTGAAGATGTCATTGCATTGCATTCTGGTCTCTGTTCTTTCCAATAAGAAGTTAGCTAACACTCATATGTGTCCCTGTGCATGTGAAGTATAGTTTTTCTCTGGCTGCTTTCAAAATCTTATCATTACCTTTAGTTTTCAGCAGTTTGACTATGGTATGTCTAGATGTGGGATTATTATTATTATTATTATTTTGTATATTCTGTTGTGGTTCACTGAACTTTTAGATCTGTAAGTTGTTTTACACCAAATCTGGGAAAATTTTGGCCATTATTTCATAAAAGATTTTTATCTGTTACATTTTCTCTTTTTTTTTTTGGTACTCCAATTACATGTAAACTGTCACTTGATATTGCCTCATAGACCTGAGGCTCTGTTCATTATTCAAAAATGTTTTTTCTACATCTGGGTCACCTTGAGATCTGTTTCTATTGGCTGCTTTTTTTCCTTTATTAAGGATCACAATTTTTTATATCTTTTTTTTTTTAAATATATCTTTATTGATTTCAGAGAGAGGAAGGGAGAGAGGGAGGGAGAGAGATAGAAACATCAATGATGAGAGAGTCATTGATCGGCTGCCTCCTGCACGCCCCCTGCTGGGGATCGAGCCCACAACCCGGGCATGCGCCCTGACTGGGAATCGAACCCCGATCGCCTGGATCCTAGGTCGATGCTCAAACGCTGAGCCACGCCTGGGCGGGCCAATTTTTTGTGTCTTAACATGTCTAGTAATATTTTAGTGCATGCTCGATATTGTAATGTTACATGGTAAGAAGTCTGATTATGCTGTAAACTCAACACTTGCTCTGGTAGGCAGTTAATTTCATGGCAGCAAGACAACATTTAAAACTGCTTTATAAGCATATCATCTCTGGCAATAGAAAAAATGGTGCTTTATAAATAGGACGGAAGGACATTCTAGGAAGGAAGTGTGTTTTTTCAGTAGAACATAAAACTTACTTTAATGAAGCAAAATCTCACAAACTTCTCAAACTGTAATTTGGTCTCTTTGTTACAGAATGCTGAAACTGGGATGGCTGAGAGTTTCTAAAAAATAAACAGGAAGGTAAAAGAAGAAAATTACTTACATTTCAAATGTTAACCACAGACATTAGAAAAAAATGATACTTCTAAGTATTCACAACAGTTAGAAAAAAAAAAGATATTAAGTACCTCCAAAGAGCCACAAGTGAACTACCATGTAAGAAAACTACAGTGAACATTGTTCAAAGCATGTCAGCTAGTTTCCTTCACAAATTAACTGTAAAATACAGCACAATATTACAAAGGCCAATGAACTTTACCTTATTTTTAGTCATCCATTTAACAAATTTATAGTCATAAGGTTCATTGTTCTTCATTTCAGAGAGGTCTGCATCTAAAACAATGAAAATTAGATAACCTATGTATTGTATCTGAGGCAATATGTATGTCATATAAGTCTGTCAAAATTCAAAATTTTCTTAGAAGATAGTCACAAAATCCGCTGGAATCTCATACTGCACATGGCTGGGTGGAAGCGAGATGTCACAGATAAGCTTTACCTATGCTCTAAGGCAGTACTCACATATACACCTGATTTATCATATTTCTGCATACACTTCTTAGCACTGGAAGAGGGTAGGAAAGGGGAAGCAAAGAAAAGTGTTGCCTTTCCATCTAGAAATAATATAAGATTCTATGATCATTATTAAGAAAACGACATATAAACTTAGAGTATTCACCATAACACTTATATCTCCAAAAAGTCATCCATCCACAAGCGTAAAGTGTCTGTATTGTAACCTATCATTATCCCCAACTCCTAGGTCAGTGTCTAGCACATAAGTAATAAAAAGAATATTTGTTGAATGAGTAAATTAATATTACTCATTATTTATAAAGGGAAAGTGACTGTGGAGATCTTCCAAGTGATATTCTTATTGTTTGCCTCTTTCATCCATACATTACGCTTTTGAAAAAATGTTAAGTTTGGGGAAAATCTTCAAATATGTATTCCTATTCTTATCTCTTGCTCCAATCTTGCTTTAAGATCTGGGCTAGATATTTCTCTGGCATTCGGCTTCAGCAATCCATATTTTATATTGTTTCAATGTTATTGATTTGTACTCTTAGATCTTTTTGAATGGCCCAAGGCTACTAACATTGATGATTACTGCATTCAGCGGAATTTTATAATTTATTGCTCAAAACAGACCGAGACAGTTACCTTGTTTCTTTTATTCACAAAATACTACCGGGTCTCTTCAAATTAACAGTGGAAAAACCTTGACATTGGAGAAAGTTTCACCTATATTTTAAAAAAATCTTAATATGTTTTTACTTAATGATTTTAATTTCCAATCTCCACAGTCACATTTAAGGTTAAGAACCTAAAATTCCAATTGTGTAAAAACGCTGATATTGTGAAAGTCCATTTTTTTCATAAATAAAATGCTGATATGGCTTTGACACCAATCTTTTCTCCATAATTCTGATATAACATCACACATAAGTTTCTATACATTTGAAATAATAAAAACCTTTACAAACCTAGCAAAGACACATCGGCAATGATGAAGTAGCCCCCATCAGGAACTATGGGTTTTAGGCCAACACTTCCAAGTAAATGTACCATCCGATCTCTTTTTACTTCTAACTCTTTTGGCAAAGAATTAAAGTAACACTCTGGGTCGTCCATGCGCTTCATTTCCATCCAAAAAGCTTGAGCCAAGGCCTCCTGTATGTTAAGATTGAACAATGTGAAAAGGAAATATGGTAATGTTATTTATTACTGAGTTTACTGGTATAATAAATACTGTCTGAGTAATAATATTATTGGCCAAAAGTCATTCAGGGAATTACAGCTGAATTCCTGTGGACCTATGGTAAACTCTATAGGATAATGGAAGAATCTGTTACAAGTAAGAGGTTAAATCTAATGTGAAGAACTGAGAATAAGCCATGAAAATCCAAACTGAAGAAGAGGTGTTATGTAAAGATGACATACTTGGAAATGAAAGACATTATGTTATTTTCTATTGAGGTGAGCTGTTAGAATGACTTGTTAGATTTAAGTCTGAAAGATGACCAGAGAAATGATGAACTAGCCATCCTTTCCCCTTTACCTTGGAGGACTCTGTAGAAATGAAAGCTCACTCACTGTGTTATTCCCTATAGGTGTACAAATCCATCCCAGGTAGGTGGGACAAGTGCCACAGGGGTTAGAAACAATTTTCTGGGGCATGAGAGTGACCTCTCTACCCTTCTTCAGGAAAGTCAGAAGACACAGGGGTGAAATTGGGCCCAGAGAAAAGCCAATGTTGTTAGGCAGGTGTCTGAGAGGCAATAGAGCCTATCTATTAATTCCACTTATTCCCTCCCCCCTACAAATAGCCACTTTTACTAGTTGCATTATGGATCTTTCCAGAGATCCTTTAAGAACACGTAAACAAACACTGTCCCCCTTTCTTATATAGAACATAGCAAAAATATACACTGCTGGGTATCTTGCTATTTTTACTTTACATTATATTCTGGAAATTTTCCATATCAGTAATTATAGAGCTTCCTCATTATTTCCCTTTCTTTACTTTTAATTTTTAACAGCCACAATGGTAGACAGAATAATGGCCCTCAAAGATGTCCATGTCTCAAGTGCCAGAACCTGTACATACGTTACCTTGTTTGGTGAAATAAAATTTATGAATGTGACTTAAGTTAAGGATCCTGAGATGGAGAGATTGTTTGGGATTGTCCGGGGTCTAATGCAATGACAACGATCCTTATAAAGGGAAGAAGGTGGCAGGAGGATATGTGTTGACAAAAGCAGAGGTTGGAGTGATGTGGCCACACACCAAGCGTGCGAGCCGCCCCTGGAAGCTGGAGAAGCCGAGGAACGGACTCGCCCTTCCAGCCTCCAGAAGGCCCGCAGCAATGCCCTGTGAACCCCATTTCGACTGCTGACCCCTAGAACTGTAAGATAAAAAATTTGTGTTGTTTTAAGCCACTAAGTTTGAGGTAATTTGTTACAGAGAAATTACCTGTAATTTCTGAGAATACAGAAATTACAGTAATTTCTGAGAATACAGTCCTATGATATTTCAATGTTTACATAGATCAAGGTTTACTTAAACTTAACTGCCTGTAGACGGATAACGACTATCCCGTATTTTCTGCAATACATGGCCATGTACAGACAGAGCTTCTTACCCGTGCGGGTAATAATTATGGGGTAAATTCCCAGAAGACAGACTACTGCTTCATAGTACACATGCATCTCTAATCTGGCTTGGGGCTGTCACTGTCCTCCAGAGAGTTTGAAGTGTTTGTAATCCCACCAGCAACGCAGGAGTGTTCAAAGTTAAAACGATGTATTAAAAAAACAATAACAACAAACTATTCTTCATAGCAATGACTGTGTGTCTGCTCCTAAATTCCCAAATTACACTAGAAGCCCTGTTCAAAGAGGGCATGAAGGAAAGAACTGAGGCAATTCAAACACACAGCATGAAGGTAACACCTTCACCAAAAGACCATGCCTCGACCCCAAGTTACCGTAACACCTACCTGTAAAGGAGTTGCACAGGTATAGAGGCTGTTCTGCTGAACTGTCTGCAAATGTTTTATTAAGTGGTAAGGACCAATGGACCAGCCAAGCTGGAAAAGGTAAACGCAAATTTCAAAAAATGAATCTAATCGTATGTATCAAATCTAATAGAGTATATAAGCTTAATGCAATTATTAAATATATTCGATTCTAAAATGTTCACACAATGAAAGTATTTCCGTTTGAGAATCATTTCAACACCTCTTTTTGTATAAAAGTTTCCAGCTGGAGTCACTTAGCTGCTCTCAGAGGTAAATAGTACCTGCAACCAATACTCTCTCCTCTCCTCTTCTCGTTTGCTACTTCTAATCCTCTGGAGGTCTAAAAACCTGCACCAACGCTTGTCTGAGTTACATAGACTAAAGTAACCCTGAATGAGGGTCTAAGGGACTCTTCCATTATTTGGTGCTGCAGGCATCTTCCTAACTTTTTTTAATTAAACTTTTAATTTTGAGATCATTGTAGATTAACATGCAGTTGTAAGAAATATATAGAGAGAGATTCCTTGTACTCTTGACCCAGTTTCACCCAATGGTGACATCTTGCAAATCTATAGTAAAAATCACAATCAGGATACTGCCATCGATACAGTCAAAATGTAGAACACGTCCATCACCACAAGGATCGTTCGTGTTGTCCCTCTGTTCCCATGAATACTTCCCTTCCCCTCGACCCCGCCCACCTCTAGTCCCTGGCATTTTTGCCATGTTTAGGAGAAGGAGGTTTGAAGATAACGAAGTTTCGACTGGATAAACTGTTGTGCTTCAGAGTGCAAGAGTTAAGTGCACGGATTTGGAAGCCAGCTTGCAGGCCCTGGCATGAATTTATTAGCAGTGTAACCTTAGGCAAGTTCCTTAAGTTCTCTGTACTGTACTTTTATTGTCTGTAAAATGGAGATAATAGATTATACCTACCTCATAACGTGGTTATGAGAATGAAAGGAATTAGTACATGTAAAGCGCTAAGAATCTGGCACAGCCCGGCTGGCGTGGCTCAGCGGTTGAGTGTTGACCTAGGATCTGGGAGGTCGGGGTTCGATTCCTTGTCAGGGCACATGCCTGGGTTGCGGGCTCGATCCCCAGTCGGGGGTGTGCAGGAGGCAGCCGATCAATGACTCTCATCATTGATGCTTCTATCTCTCTCTCTCCCTCTCCCTTCCTCTCTCTGAAATCAATAAAATATTTTTTTAAAAAAAGAATATCGCACATAGTAAAAGTGCCAAAATATTGCTATTATTATTTATTCTTTTATATTAATAGCCACTAATCTGAACAGTCTTTGCAAAGGAAAATGTGTCATTAGTTGGTTACTTATAAAATGAAACATTACTTATGTTTTCTTACTTATAAAGAAATGATTAGGTCCCAAAGAAAATAAAGGTCAATATGAAAGCTGAATGAGTAAACAATAAGCAAAATATCAGTAAGTATAAAACCCTGTGTAAACTAAGTATATATGCATTTAAAACACAAAAAAACTCTACAAGAAATAAAGGACATGCCTGTTTTTAAGCAATTAAATTATTCATCTTACCTTCCAGCCAGTTACACTGAAAGTCTTTCCAGCACTTCCTACGGTTACCGTTCTCTCCCACATACCTGGAAAAGTGGCTGAACAGAAAAAGAAAGAAAAAAAAAAGGCTAAGTAATTGTTTTCCAATCAATCTACATTTGCTGCAATCTAGAAACATAAATGTATCATAGTGTAGCCATAGGTTTTTAAAAAGAAAATGTAACTTTAAGCACAGTTGAAAATGTTGCAATGCTTGAAAACACTATAATATCGCACCAAAATAATATGTAATAGATTGAATAATTTTAAGTAGCAAAATTATTTCCAGGGGTGGGAGTGGCAGAGGCGCCAGAAGGCAGGGTGGTGGGCTGGCTCTGTGTCGGGGTCACATAAACTGGCGCCCAGCACTCAGTGATAACAGTAGCTGTGTGTTCAACGTAATCATTCTGTAGCATGCCCTGGTGGTGATCTTGGCTATTGCTGATTTCACCTCTATTCTGCCTACTTGCTATATCTACAGAATCCCTAGGGCAATGATTCTAAAAATGTGGTCCCTACACCAGCAATATCAATACACTGGGGAACCTGTAAGAAAGGCAAATTCTTGGACTGCATCACAGACCTACTGAATCAGAAACTCTGCAGGTGGGGCCCAGCAAACTGTATGCCCGTGCAGGAATGTGTTTTGCTAATAACTTTATTGAGATATAAATCCCACACCATATAATCCATTCATTTAAAGTGTATAATGCAATGCTTTTTAGTATACCCAGAGTTGTGCAACCATCACTATCAATTTTAGAACTATTTTTCACCCCAAAAGAAGCTCCATACTCTTTAGATACCAACCCCTCATATCCTCATGGCCAATAGCACTAGAACTTTTGCCTGAACAGAGCTTATCTAACACAAGTATTTTCTCCGTAATGCACAGGACAGTCTTCCTGCACTTAGAAACATTAGATAGCACTTCAGCCCCATGCTTAGAGGCCACTTTAAACAACAAAATCACCAACAAAAGGACACTTGCTTGTGGTAGGAGCTGAAACAAGAAGGCAGAGGGTTGCCTTGTTGACCTCAACTAGGAATGTGCCTATCAGGTGACAAATTTTTCACCCCTCTGCACATTTCTGAGAAAGAAGCACTGTAATGATATGGGGGTTACAAATATATTGTAGTGAGCAGGTGAAATCACAAGTACAGATTCCACGAATAATGAGAAATGACTGTTACACGTTTCAATTTGATTGATACCTTTAATAAAATCATTCATTCATTTATTCATCCGCTTGTTAAACATTTATCAGCAATGATCAGGGGCCAGGGACTAAGCTAGGTCTAGAGGAAACAAAGAGAAGAAAGATACAGTTCTTCAAGAAGCTTAATGTCTAGGGCTCGGGGACAAATAAGACTCTTGTAATAGAGTGTGACACTATAATAGCAACAGGCATGGAGTACCGTGCAAGGATAGAAGGTGTTTGGGGTGGCTCTCCGTAGCCAGTCACGCTTGAGCTGAGACTTGGAAGATGTTTGCCAGGCAGGGAAAGGGAAAGAAAGGTAAATTTTGGGCGAAGGGAATGCAGAAAACAAAGTCCTGGAGGTATAAAACGCAAGAGTTTGTGAATTTTGCTGGATAGTGGTACATTATTTCTCTGTTCATCTCACAATGCTACCTACAACACTGCTTTCTGGGTTCCTCAAATAATTTAGTTGTGAAGATCTTCAGATGCAATCCCACAAGTGTTTTGCTTCTTTTTTAGAGGTACAATAGATGTTCTTGTATTGTTCTAAAAGTGCTGGGACACACAAAGGGAAAATAAATACCCATTTCTGGGGGTGGCGGTGGGCTAAGCTGTTTTCTTAAAGTAATATTCTCATAAGAAGTGCTTACTAAAATGTAAAGTAACTAAAAGAAATTTCCAAACAGAATGTATATGTAAGTAATTTCAGTCTATCGTGAAACACCTGCCAGTGTTTGTAAAGGTAGGAAAACTGTGTAAGTCAGAAAAGTTATAATTGTGTTCACCATAGAGTATAACAAAAATGAAAAGATAAATGAAGAAGATATTCAGAGGGTTCATTCAAAGAAGGAATATTCTAATATTTGATATAAGTAATTATATCTTCAAGTTCTGAGACAGTTCTAGGCTTCCAAAGTAGTCCAAAGACCACCACGAGACACGTGTGCTTTCCTATTTGACCAGAGAAGGACCTAAACTATGCATATTGCAGAGTGTCATTCCCTTTAAAGTAATAATATATATCCAGAATCAGAGAGGCCTATTAGTTAGAATATTTAGAAATAAAATCTTTGAAAATAAAAGTTACCCAGAGAAATTAATACAATCCTAACATGTTTTCACCATAAATTACACATGAATTAATTTACACCATAAATTAAAAAGTACTCCTGTCAAATGTAGGTTTCATACACAAACTATCAAATCTAATTTAGTATTTCAAAGGAGAGCTAATTTGTTGATGGCTATTTTAGCCACATAAAAGTGGTTGTAAGCTGATCAGATAGTTTACAAAGAATTTTATACTAATTTCCCAAATCTCAATAGAGTAGTAGACAAATATCAGTATATCAGTATATCTCTTCCATGAGAGGTTTCTTTTGTTGACTGAAACGTCTTTTTACTGAAACCTGGAGATATCATTTGAATCAAGGATCTGATCCGATATTTCAATAAAAGGGACCCTAAATCATTTTAAAACTTCTAGATGTTCATGTCCTTTCAATCTCAGAGATTTGGGGAGCCACAGAAGTTAAACAGATGCCCACAGCACTGAGTGTGACTATTGTAATCTAGAGGGGGGGGAAAAATATCTTTGCAGATCTGATGCTTTAAAAAACCATATCCAGTATCAGTAAGTTTGCACTTCTCATTTATGACCCATGATCCTGAAATCAGCCACAGCACCAATAACAGTTATTCACAGGCGACTCGGGCTTCAATAGAAGTCAGATGAAGATCAGGGGCATCATGAAGAGCGCTGCGCCAGGGAAAACTGCCTGTGACAACGTGAAGGTGATGCCAGCTTCACGACGCGTGGCGACACGGCCTTATTGCATTACATTAAAGCACTACTGTTGCACTCGGCGAGTTGATGGAACAGTCATTTTGCATCGTTTGTGTAACAAAGATAGAGTAAGTTTTCATGCAACCGAACTGAACTCTCTAAGTAATAAAATACTGAATTCATTTCTTTCGTGGTTTAACTTTATGGGCTGTTATAACAACTAAAAAATCTGAGTTAAAAATATATGACTTGATATCTCTAGCAAACATTATCAGTTACACTGCTACCATGAAGGGCTTATAATATAACGTAAGGCTTAAATACAGGTTTAAAAAATAACTTCATGGTTAAAGTAATCTTTGAAAGAATATTGCCAAGCTGAATTAACTAAAATGCTAAAGATCTGAGTCATTCTCACATAGACATGAACATACATTTTAGGTTGAATATAAAATTACATTTACTCATTAGATAGATGTCTCTCCCTCTCTGCTTAATCTAAAAATTTTTAAATAAATTTAACAAAATGATTTAATTAATTGCATAGAATTATTTAATTTAAATAAGTAACAATTTTAAATAAATCAAATAAACCTAAAATAATTTTAAATAAAATAATAATTTAATAAAATTTAATCTAGAAAAAAATCTACCAAAAAATTCATTGTCCATATTGGCCTGATATTGCACTGGGGAAATGACCCAAGACAGAGGTCATCAACAAGACAGGTGAGGTGAACTCTGATGCAGATTTGACCCAGAACCACAGCTTGCTGTGTTAAGACACCACACCTTGCAAATTCCTGGTCTTCTCTGTTTAACATTCTCCCTCATAATTTGATCCTGACCATCAGACCTATAATTCTACTTGTCTTCGGACATCTGTGTCGCACAGACACTGAAACTTAGCAGGACTAAAGCATGAGTCAGGAGTTTCCTCGGCTCAGCTCTTCCCCACAGACCCGTTCCTCCTCCTTACATCTCCGTCTCTGGTTAAGGGCCCGTCACTGCTGAGGGGTCCGGGCTGCGGACCTCAGAATGATTCTTGCCTGTTTCCTTCCTACATTCTAATGACAAACTCTGTGCCCTGTACTTTTCTCTTTCTAAACAACATGCATTTCTCATCTCCACTGCTGGGACCTCTGACTCATTTTAGACCCTCCCCTGCAGCTGGTTCTTACCTTTATAAAACAAATCCAATCCTGCAATCAATTCCCCTGCGTTGTCACACCTTTTGCGGTAGTTCTCAAAGTATGCTCACAAGTACTCTTTCTGGTGATCAAGTTAATGTGTAGAACTGAAAAAATCAACCAAGTTTTCCTCCACAAAATTTTCTTAAGCATAAATGCTATCACTTACGATAAATGCTATCACTTATCTGATAGTGAATGCTACCAAGAGTGAAACAAATGAGCATTTAGTAAATGAATATTAATGGCAAAATCAGAAAAACTCCAATGTGTTTATTTTGATAGCTCTTTGTTATGAAAAATATGCATGATTTTTATATTGATTTCTAATTATTTAATTTCCATCAGGAAAATCACTTCTAGTTTCAGGATGGAATGCAATATTCAGAACCACTGACCTGTAAAAAATAACATATATAAATGGAGCCACTTTAAAATGGAGCCAGAGCTGCCATGCCAGATGAACTGTCTTGCAGGTCCTATGCCTCAAATCTTTGGAAAGGTAAAAACAGGACAAAATAACCTTTGGACTGGGCCTAATCAACCTTGTGTCCCAAAGAACTGTTTGCAAAGATAACAAGAAAATAATTATTATGACAACTGGACTGAAAATTAAAAACATTGTTTAAAATTAACATGTTATCTGCACCAATAGAAATGCCTTTCTTCTACTGGTGTAATTATTCCCCTTCACTTAGTCATCAATACCCACTGCCTTTGTCTCCTAATCAGAACATTATTTGGGCTTTTGCTTGAATTAATGACCCCAGAATAGCTATTCTTATTGATCTCAATAAATGTTTGTTGCCTCTCACTTTGAAAGGTCATTATATTTTTACACTCAACAGTTTACACTCTATTTTCATATACAATATCCTTCAGAATCACTCTACTTTCCCACAGTCCAATCTGCCAGTTAACAAACCCTTATAATAAACCACTTAGCTTTCTTACGTGGCTTATCTTGATCTTTCAAGCCTTTTTGCCTCAGTACGGTTAGTTTATCTGATAGGAATTTTCTTCCTACTTCTCTCACTAATTACACCTTTTTCTCACTCAAACATCTGCATTCTCCTCCGTGTTTCTACAGCAATTGGTAGTGCACATAGGGATGATTACGATGTTAGCAACAACTATTTGTGTATAAGTGCAATAATTTTTTTAAAATGTCTTTATTGATTTTAGAGAAAGGAAGGCAGAGGGGGAGAGAGAGAGAGAGAAAATCAATGATGAAAGAGAGTCATTGATCGGCTGTCTCCTACACGCCTCCGACTGGGGATTGAGCCTGAAACCCAGGCATGTTCCCTGACCGGGAATCGAACCTTGATCTCCTGGGTCCTAGGTCGATGCTCAACCGCTGAGCCATGCGGGCCCGGCAGTGCACTAATTTTTTATTTATGGGTTTCTGTCACAGTGATTTCAGTTATCTTTCCCTTAGCCTTTTTTCACGCATCTGATTCATTTATTCAACAATTACTTTCTGATCATCTACAACATGCAAGACCCTATTCTGGGAACTGAGGATTCAGAGACCAAAACAAACAGAAGTCCCTTCCTTCTTGCAGGGTAGGAGTAAAATATATAGATCCTGACATTTGCTTTGGAGGAAAAATCAAAAGAGAACAGAAAAAGGACAGAGCCAATGCTGGAAGGAGAGGCGGAACCATGGTCATATTTGCACTTGCCCTACCTATGCCTGAAAACACATTCCCCTCAGGTGTACACATAGCTCAGTCTCTCACCTCCCTCAGGTCTCTGTTCAGGTGTCAATTTTTATGACCATGGTTCCGCCTCTCCCATGTCTTACGTACCAAGTTATAGCTGGATTCTTGATAAAAAAACAAAAACAAACCAAGGATACGGGCAGTCCTACTCCTCTGGTTTGGTAGCTTTACAGTGTGATCCAAAATCTCTTCCCTTAAGTTTGTACTGTCTGCCCTTCAATCGGCTCATTAACTCACTCAAGCACCATTGATTCAGATGTCCTTTGTAAGCACTCATACACACAGACACCCACTGCGGAGGTTACACTGAAGCTGTTCTGGGACCCTTTCCAATCAGTTGTTCCACACATGCCCAAATGCATTTAGATTTGTGATTCTACGCAATAATCAGTACCTATTTTTAAATGCTTATTTCCAGTATATACAAGCCATTCATAAACCTCATCACTGATGCAGAGTGTGTCATATTTGATGCAAAGGTCAGCAATTAGTTGGAGTTCCTCTTTGGTGTACACCTGTGCATATTAAAGGAAACAAGAGCAGAGCAATTATTATTCACTGCGTGACAAAAGGATGGATCAGAAGACTGTAGAAACAGATCAAAGACTCACTTACTTTGCCAATGGGGTTATGTGGAGTATTTAGTATAATGGCTTTGGTTTTGGAATTAAATTTACTTGCCAGTTCTTCAGGATCCAATGTCCAGTCAGAACTAGACCATTTTTTCCCATCAACAGGTTTCTAAGCATGAAGAATGAAGATGTGATTTAATTAATTCATGTTTGCTGTCTTACAAATAAATAACCTAATAAAGAAAAAAAGTTAGAGGAAGGAGTGGCAAATCTAACTGAATAAATGACTAACAAAGAAAATAAACAGAAATAACCAAGCTCTAGTCCTGCCTTCAGAGCCCAAGAGGATTCAAGTCTCATGCTTACACCTGTTAAACAGAAAAATGGACTCTGTCCATATTACTAGCTGTTCCAGTGCCCACATCCCCTCAAAGGGACCAGGGGTAACTAGGGTTAACCTGTCTCATACAATAAGACTAGTAGAAGATTCTGTGATCCACCTTAGCGTATTACTTACTTTGAAAAGATTTTTAAAAAGACAATGGTACTATATTATATTCCTAAAGATAATAGTAGAATAAAAAAATCACTGCAATCAGAATTCACCAAGCATTTACTGAGCACCAGCGTTGCCCTGCACTGTCAGTCACTGGAGAGCAGTGCCATAAAAGTGAGTCAGAAACAGTCTCTCACCTGGTGGTGCTCAGTCAAAGGGAGAGACGAATGGCCACAAAAGGTAATATTGCATACAATGTGGACGCTAATACAACAGAGACACATGGCAAACACACAATAAATTAACAGAAGCTCCCCTCAGCATTAGTTGTTGATTAACTTCAGCCATAGTAGAGATAATATAATCAAAGTAGAAACTTTATCGGTGGCAAAGTAATTGGCATTTTCAAAACTTCTTAAAGCATGTGAATGATACTGGCAAACTTACAGATCTTAAAGAAATAAAAACAGGTGTTGCTCCAGCCATTCGCACCATGGGCTCATAGCAGTCATAGAAAGGTACTATGACTATGACCTGAAATAAAACCAAATAAGAACACAACATATCAATCGTTGATTCATTTAACAAATATTGTGTAACTACTACCTGTGAGGCACTATGCTACATGCTTAGATGCAGCGGTGAAAACAGTAGGCCTTGCCTTCATGGAACATCCCAGTGGAAGAGACCTTGGGGATAAACTTGCTGGGAGCCTTCACTGGGGTCACTGACCTCTTAGGGAGATCTACAGGTAGGCTTGAGGTGGGGACCCGGGAATCGCATGCCAAGTTTTATATGTACATAGGTAGATTTTTGAGGGGAAAAGGGCCATAGCTTCCATCACATTCTCAAAGGGATGTTCTGGCCAAAATGTTAAAAGTTTATTTAAATTTCAAGTTAGAAAATAAAATATCAGATGGCAGCAGAAGCCACTATAAAGAAAGAGAACACTGCAATGGTCTCTGTGGTGGAGTGTTAATTTCTAAGAATTATCTTGAGAGTAAGGATGTTTCCCTTTTCCCAAAAGCATCCTGAAACAAAGAGCGGATGCTATAGTTGTTGTCTGATACCACATTTTCCCTCCAGGTGACCTATATCTGGATTCTTTTTTCCCTAGTCCTTGGCATGTACTCCTGGTCCCTTTGCCCCTGCATGGTCTCTCTCAGTCACTCATGGGCTGGCTTTCAGGTCAGTTGGCCAATCCAGCCAGCCCAGTCAGTATCCCTCCCACAAACTGCCAGCCTGGGTCTAGCATCCTGACTTTTGGCTTTTCTATAAAGAGAGTTTAAACACCTAATTTGTAATCAATATACACATTCAAGTTTTCTTTCTATCTTTTTTAAGCCTAGCAATATTTCACAAAAATTTCATATTATTGTTAGTTTTAAACATATATATATATATACACACACACATATATATATATATATATCTTTATTGATTTCAGAGAGAGGGAGAGGGAGAGAGAGATAGAAACATCAGTGATGAGAGAGTCGTCATTGATCGGCTGCCTCCTACACGCCCCACACTGGGGATCGAGCCTGCAACCTGGGCATGTGCCCTGACCAGGAATCAAACCTTGATCTCCTGGATCCTAGGTCGATGCTCAACTGCTGAGTCATGCCGGCTGGGCTGTTAGTTTTAATATTTATTATTTTAATGGCTATCAAGAGCCTATTGAATTCTAGAATAATTTTCTTATGGTTTGCTTGTATAAATAACAATGCTATGCCCATTTGTTAGTATGTATAGTTTCCCTATTTTTAAATAGTCTGCTGAATAAATTTAGATGATTGCTATCGTTAAAGGGTATAAACATCTTTACGGTACTTTCTATATATAGCCAAGCTGCTTTTGAAAAATCTGGAAAGAACAATTTATAATTTCACAAGTCAGCAGTAAGTTGTCTTGCTTAACTTTCTATTGGTTAAATTAATGGTCCCTAATTACTGTTCCAAATTCACACATTTTACTGTTTGTATTTCCTATGATGTGAAATACCTATTCAAGGCATTTCTCTTTGGGGTAAAGGAGGCCCTCGCATCCTAAAGCCCCTTTGCTTATACTAGTCATTCAATGCACACTGCATACCTACTATAAAATGTGCTATGTTAGGTGTTAGGTGTTAGGTACTGCGGAGGGCAAAGAAATGAACCAGGAACAAGTTTTTAATCAGTCTGTGAAATAATTCTCAGGGGCTAAGATGACCTATCTTTGTAACCCTGGTGAGAAACATAGTGAGAGCTCAAAAAAGGGAACTGCATTGGGAGGCAGGGAGGTAGAACTGAAAGAATGTACTTGACACTCTTCACTGTGACTGCTTTGCATTTACAATGGGAACAATTCCCCTCTCTCTTTGAAGAATATTTATTGAGCACTCACTACTTTAGGTGCTGGTGGACAGCAGTAAACCAGTTCTCCTGGAACTCAGTCTACTAGGGGGGACTTACAATAAACAAGAAAACAAGGAAGTAAATGAAATCATTTCAGAGAGTAATCAATGTTATTACAAAGACAATAAAATAGGTCCATGTGACACAAAGTGACATGTGTGGTTTCAAAAGATTAGATGAAGTGATCAGGGAAGAAAGACTAGAGAAAAGAAGGCCAAGGGCTGAGCTGTGGGATATTCCAACAGTGCACAGGGAGGGAGGGGGCAGCAAACGATTAACGGCATCAAAGTATAAAGCAAAATTTCAACTATTTTTATAGGATTAAAAGAGATTTTTTTATATCAAAGTATGACTGTCCTTCCTTAACACGTTCCTTTTAGCTTATTTTTTTTGTCTGGCATAATACAGGGAATTTGGGACATAAAACAATATAACTCAAAGTTATAGTGGTATTTTATTTTTAACGAAAAAAAGTACAGATAAAGTGCTATAAGAGTTCAAAGAACAGAATTAACAATATAGGTCATGGTGAGCATTTATCCTTCAGACCCAGCTTAAGCAACGCCTCTCTGGAGCCTTCCAGACCTACATGAGGAGAGTCCACCACTTCTCCCCTTTGTTTCCACCATGACTTAGACGTGCTCCCCTGTGACAAGCACACTGCGCTCCTCTTCACTTGTTTACAAGTCTGTCTCCTCTGCTCGACACAGTCCCTTTGATATACTGTGATGTAAGTGCAAACGAGATTAATTTTCCCCATCACCGCTAGCCCCTTCCACCTGCCTTTATCTAAATAAGCTTTAAAAATAAGAATAAAGAACGTGCAACGAAATGGATGAATCTCACAGACAAAAATGAAAGAAGCCAGATTCAAGAGAAGACAGAAGAGGGGGTATCCCTGGGAGAATATAGGCTAGAAAGGGGCAAAGGGGCGCTGGAAATGTATCTGGTTTGTGGTCACATGGATATATATGCACGCGTGTCCCTGAAAAATAAATACACACTGTAACAGCTGATAGCTCAGCTGATGTTTCTTTTCAGATTTAACCCGCTGAAATGCATTACGGCAGCCAAAGTATGTATACGTATTCTTGGGACGCCCTACATACATGCACACGCACATACATAAAAATGTATTGACCTGTACATTTAGGGTTCGTGAGCTTTACTGCATATGCATTATATTTCAAAAATAATTAAAAATAAAAAAAGCAGAAAATAAGTAAAACATTCAAAGGCAGGACAAACAATAATGATGAATATAGGTAACGTGATAATGTTAACTGATACTTACTTCATCTCCTTCATCAATTAATCCTTGAATGGCATTAAAAAGAGAGCCATATGCTCCTACTGTCACAAGGATTTCTTTATTTGGATCGATTTTCTTTTGATACAGCTTTTCATATAAGCAGGACAGAGCTTTCACAAGTGATGGATGACCCTGTTGAATAAAAATTTAAAAAAACCTTGAATTATGGGACCTACTTCTTTGAAGTAGTTTGGCTCTAAAGTGTAAAAAAAAATTTTTTTAATATATTTTTATTGATTTCAGAGTGAGGAAGGGAGAAGGAGAGAGAGAGAGAGATAGAACATCAACAATAAGAGAGTCATTGATCGGCAGCCTCCCGCACACTCCGTGCTGGGGATCGAGCCCGCAACCCGGGCGTGTGCCCCGGGGATCGAACCTCGATCTCCTGGATCTTAGGTCGATGCTCAGCCGCTGAGCCATGCTGGTAGGGGTAAAATGTAAAAAATTTTTAAATTTAGGTTTTATAATTATCCAAAAAATTTTGTATTTTTAATCAGCAGTTAATGAAAAAGAATTTTTTGCTATGTTCAGGGGTCCCTAGATGAATGCCATGAAGGCTTGCTAATGATTAAAACTTCCTATTAAATTACTGATTTTAGAATACAAAATTTCAAATTATTTGCTTTGAATAAAAATTGACTTCAACATCTAATATATTTTTGACAATACATTTTGATAGTAATTACATCCCGTTTAATTATTTTTGACAGTAATTAAATCATATTGAACAGAGTTGGGTATTTTTCCCAGTTAATATCAGCTGAAAACCTACATTAACCATATATCCCTTGATTCTGTTCCAAGTTACAGGAGAGGTTATTCCAACCAATGGACTAAGAAGAGAGGGGAAAAACAAATTCACCCAAGAAATGCACGTTAGTGTTGACAGCAAATGTGGAAGAAGTGGAACATGATTCACACTGATGGCCACAAGAGCAGGAATCTAGGAGACCGACTTGAAAGTGAGGATCGTGGGGATGGTAAATGCACAAAGTCGGGGGGGGGGG